CGTTGCGTGGGAGTCCAGCGACATAGCCATTACGCTAACTGCTGGTTCCCACTCTAACTATTTTTTAAGAGTTTTTTGGTTTGGTTTGGTTTGGTTTGGTTTGGTTTGGTTTTTGTCTTAGGCCGTGTGCAAGCATGTGCGCTCTCTACAGAGAGAGAAAGAGACTGAGACAGTGAGAGGGAAAGTAAGAAATTATGCTCTAGGGGTGATGACCATGCTGCAATCCCTTTTCCTCCATTCTCCTATTTTGAGTATGCCCATGTCCCTGGTGTGAGTTTCAAGTCACTGGGTCCAGGACTCAAACCATGGCCAGCTGCTGACCCCAAACCTAGCTAATTCTTTTTTTTTTTTTTTTTTTTTTTTTAAAGAAATGGACAGTTAGTTCCTTTGGTCTGTGGACACCATGAAAAATTACTGAAACTAAAGACCTTATGAGCCAAATGGTGTGAGAAACTCTGGGGTGGGTGTCAAAGGCATTTGTGGTCGGGATTGACATACAAATATGGTAGAGAGGAAAAGATCTTCCCTTTAAATAGGGTCCCCTTGACAGCTCACACCTGAGCCCTAGAAGAACCAGGCACACCCACAGCCAAGCCCCAGAGGGCTTCCAGCACCGAGGCTTCTCCCAGATGTGCAGGAGCACCCATGGCAAACAGGGGTGGTTGCAACCCAGCCCTGAGGCTTGAAGGACAGCTTTGTAATTGACAGTATCTCCAAGAGCACTGCCTCGAGCCAGAGGTCTCTCCACAACAGCAAGGAAAAGCTTCTTAACTTCCTGCGCTTCGCGCAGAGCCGTCTGTTATCTGCTGCAGATGGGTGTCCTGGCGGCCTCCCGCTCTGGAGTGCTGGGTGGAAGCAGGTTTGGCAGGTGGACAAAGCGGACAAAATGACAAGTGCTGTTAAGTAGCAGCCCGCAGGTGGTTGTGGCTCATGCCCGGGACCTTCTTCCTGTTGGGCTCCCCTGTGCCTGCCCCCATGGGCCGAGCTCTCAGAGGACACAGCAGCACTCCTGTCACCTTCCCATCCCTGGGGCTGCTATGGGGCACCTAGGCCTCTGTTGAAACAGAAGCACTTACAGCCCTCCTTAGCTATCTCCTAGTGGACCTTCTCGGCTTAGTTTTATATTTATGGAGTGTCGCAGCGTTGCCCAGCCATTCTCAACTCTCCATCCTCCTGTCCCAACCGCCCAGATATCTGGGGCTACAGGTGCACACGGGCCTTTGAGTTGGACTGGGAATTGAACAGGGCCTCCCACATGGTCCCAGCCCACAGAGCACAGTGTCTTAGCAGTGTGTCACAGAGCTAGGCCGGATCTTCCCTTTCAAAGTCTCACAAAGGCATAGACCCACAGGGAGGGAGGATTTCACTTTATTTCACACGCATGTGTTCACAGTGTGAGGGGCGGGGGGGTCTACATATCAGGCACTGTTCACCTTTTCCGTATCATTTTTCTCAAGAACTTGGTGGGACGTGTCCTCCTACCTTGCCCCAAAAGGTACTAAGTGGAATGTGAGTTGCTGGGAGTCCTTTGGGGGCATGGGTATTCCCTCCCACCATCTTGACAGGCTGACGAGTACAGGATTCTAATTTACAGAAACTCTCCCGTTCTCTTCACCTCCTCTAACAACTTTCTCCCGGCTCTGTGCAGGAGGGCTTGGAGAAAGCTGTTCAGCCCCTCACTCCCTCTTCATCCAGCCTTGAAGTCTGTGTAGAAGAGGGAGGCAACAGGACAGTTTCTCAGCCTGCACTGCCCAAGGCCTGCAGCCTAGGTCTCCCTGCCTGGAGGTGCTGACCTTCAGGAGGGAAGTGAGGGGCAAAGGCTGCAGACGGCCTCCCATTTAGGTGGACCCAGAATCCTGTGTGCAGGAGGCTTGCGGCTTGGCAACCCCCCAGCCTGGACCTACTACCAGGAGATTGTCGCTAGCTCCTTTCATCCGAGCCAGAGATGTCTGTCATACGCCACCCCCCAGCTGTAGGACTTACTATAATTTCATACAGTTCTGTAGACAGATATTGAAAAGGCATCTGGAAAAATTGATAGCATATCAAGGCAAAGATTTCATAAAAGTCATTTTTTAAATGTCCAGCTATAGGTGCCGGCGAGCCGTCTTCAGCCAGGCAGCCAAGTTCCCAAAGGCCTTTTTCCTGATCTTAGAGCGCCCCCTTTGGAGAGGATGCTCTTACTGCAATGCAGGCTTCTCTGCATACCTTAGAGCTCAGGGATGAGCCAAGGAACAGGGGAGAAAGGCGAAGGACCTAGAAAAGAAGAAGGAAGAAGGAAAAGGAAGAAAACAGGCGGAGGGATGCAGACTGAGCTGACCTCCATGAAGCACCCTCCAATGTGACGAGAGCCATGCCCACATTCGACATACATGATCTCTCTCTGAATCATCACATGCAAAGCAAGCCGCCGGCCCCAGTTTATTAACGAAGACACAGAGGGTTTAAGGCACCTCCTTCCTTCCTCCTAAGAACCTGCAAGGAAATGTTGTGAGGGCCACGGTTCTCTCCGACAACTAAATGCACTCGGTTTAATTCAAGAAAACCATGACTAGCAGCTGCTCCCTGCTCATCTCACTCCGCAAAGGTTTTTCAAATTCTCCACTGAAATCAGAGGGAGAAGAGGCGACTTTGTTTGAGGAACTGACACAAGACGGTTCAGGGGGCGTTGGCTGGAAGTGGAGAGTGCACTGGAAACAACCACAGTCAGGGCAGGTTTGACAAGCGTTTTTCTTCCCTGCATTTTCAGCAGGTTGTGATTCCTCCCTATTCTCAGCCATAGTGAACCGTGAACACAGCTGTTGGAGAGTCTTGGGGTGCCGAGACCCAGACAAAGAGCTTTGAGTGCTAAGGATGGGGTGGGGTGGGGTGGGAGTGGGGTATTCAGCACATAAGCTTGACCCTGAACCCAACGTTCTATTTTGATCCCTTGAAGGAATCAGGGATGAGAACAGAGGAAGTCATGCACTAAGGAATCTTCCTTGGGGGAAGACATGATTTCCTGGAGGTCTGTGCTTGAGCGGAAGCCTGCACCCTCTCACTGATTCTTGGCAGGGAGAAAATCGCGGGTGTAGTGAGCTGGGATCATCACTCATTCCTCTGCCTCTCTGAGTCCATTCAACCACACAAGGGTGTATTCCACTTTGAATACGAGAGAACGCTCAACAGAGCATTCTCATGCATGTCCTCGCTCGATAACTCCCTCACATGTCAAGAGCAGAGTGACAAGTCAAGGCCTGTTCCAATAATGCTGCGATAAGGGGAGACAGGAGATCATGCAGAAGTGGTCTCCAGGGGGTGAGCGTGGAGCCCTGCCTGTTCCTCCAAGTGCCAGACCCTTGTTTCAGTCGGATGACTCTTCATGAACTTACCACATTGGTGGGGGAGGGAAGAGAAGGATCTGTTGTTATAAAGGAAAAAAAAATGGGGTACTTCAGATGGACCTCGCTGGGGAGCCAGATGTGATGGAGGAGGCAGTGGCTTTTCCCTCCCTCCTGCTTGACCTGTGAGCTGAGTTGGCCTGAAAACTGTCCTGATCAAGCTAAGGGCACTATTCAAGCCCAACAGAGACACATTAACCTTTCAAAGAAGAAAGCACTATTCCAAAGCCCTGGACACCCAGAACCTGGCATATCAAATGTAAGACAATAAATACTAAGTGATATTGTTGAAAATATTGTCTATCACCTGATGTCTCCTAAATGAAATACCACATGATAAATTCCTTGTAGAATTTGGAACCCGGAGATAGATAGATAGATAGATAGATAGATAGATAGATAGATAGAATATATATATATATATATATATATATATATATATATCCTAAAAATGAGGAATTGTGGGAAATTGTGTGTACCTCTTTTAAATGAGGAAAGCAATGTTAACATCTCATGCTTCCTTTTTTTGCCTTAGTTACTAGGAAGCTCAAATTAGATGTTGTATAATTGCCACAAACATGTTCATTAATACTTTGGGTTAAATTAATACATTGGTTAATTCCCTTTTCTCCAGTCCTGGCTTCCCTATTTGCTTCCCACTTTGGTATCTTATCGTAGCAATCTTTGGTTTAAACTCTTTGAAAAGAGGTAGATATTTCTATTAGACACAACAGACTACTTAATGTACATTCGTGACCACAGAGCCCCACAAAGAGGACATTTTCCTGGCAGGAGCCCACATTACATCAACCCTGTCTTCAAAGATAAAGGACAGTCTTCTGTGCTCCTCCTCTGCCTCTTCCCCTGCGACCACCCTCTCAAGGACAAAGTGTCGAGGGCATTCTTTAATCTTCTCTATTTTAATTGGTGAGAGAAAGTGGTGCCACTCATCAATGCTCTAAGTTGGAGGGATTTAATTAGATCTAATGACCAGATAAATGGAGAATTCTGAATAAGGACCTTTGGGGACTGAATGGTGTGAAGAGGATTATGTTGTTATATTTCTCTGCATTCATAGCTGTGGCCGAGGCCATGATGGGAGAGAGTCAAGAGTCGGCTAGAGGTTACCATCAGGAAGGAGTGAATGAGTGGACAGTGGGTCATCCTTAGGGCCATGGTGGAGAAGACACCCAGAGCAAAGGATGCAGTCAGTACAGGGGTTGAGGAAGGAGTGAGCCTGTACTAGAAAGGGGAGATTTGGATCCCTTGCTGAGTAACCCTTCCTTTCTATCGATGTTCCCACTCAGTTGACGTGTTTCCCAAGCATTCTGCCCCCATGTGACCCTGGTGTCTTTCTCACCTTCAAGGAAGGCCACAAACCTGGTCCTAGAGTGGGTAGAGCTATTCACTTGTCAGGCTTCCCATGAGCTGGTGCTGAAAACAACCTGTCCGCCTTTGACAAGTCGCCTTTATCTAGCATGAGCAGAATCATTTTGAATATCCTTGTGCTGTCACTTAGGGCCTGGAGTGTCAGAGATTTCTCTCCCCTCGAAGATCATCTGTCAGAGTTAGTAGGGTATTCTGGTCCCAAGAGCCCTGAGGGAAAAGTTCCAGGAGTGGAGGAGGACTGGGGGGTGTGGTGGGGGGGCACAGGGAATGAAGTCAGTCTGCAAATATCTGGATCTGACTCATTCCCTAAGAAGGGTGGATTCATTCTTCCCTGGGGAAAGGTCAAACTGCTTGTCTCGAGAGGAAGAGAGATAACTCTTACTGATATTTACTATATGCCCAGCGTTTGGTCAAATACTCATCTGTAATATCACTTAATTCTTAAAACATCAGAGCCCAGTACATAATATATCCTCAGTAAGCATACGGGGAATGGATATGAGTCATTGAATTACCCCAGCAGGTATAGTGATCCTTATTGTACGAAAAAGAAAACCAAGGCTTAGAGAAAATACAGTGTGTTCAAGTTCACCCACCTGTGGAAGCAGAATTTGAACCCAGGTCTTCCTTTCTGATGCCAAAGATCAATTCCTTCCCACTTTTGTGTGTAGTTTGGTCTCATCAGCCTTCTTTTTACCAATAAAATGGACTAGCTGAGGCAGTGCTTTGTGAGAAGGAAGTAGCTGCTGTTTATTTTCCTAGGGATCTATAAATAGTCAAACATAGATCACTTTTATGGAGATGTGGCCCAAACTTTGCTCTAAATCCAAAGCCTTGAAGTTGTTGATAAGCAGCATTAATGTGGTGTTAACTCTATTTATATGGCTCTCTGCCCCCAGAGATGAATTTATATATGTGATAAATATGTTCAGCAATACCTAACAGTGATACTTTATTTCATTGCCTTTGGACACCTGGTAGCAGCTCAGGCCATTAAGGAAGCATCACACGTACACACACACAGATGCACAAGCACATGTGTGCACATGCACACACAGATGCACTGCAGCCACTCTGGGTGTGACTCAGGTCTGCTTCAGCTAGAATCTCTATACTCAGCCACAGACCTCTGGGAGCGCAGTGTGGTAGGAGATGGATGGGAGGGGGCATAAGGGCCCCATTTTACAAATATAAATGGCAGCCAACTCTTTGTTCCAACTCTCTGTAGTTCTGCCAAGACCATCTCATTCCACCCTTTCTCAGAATTATTCAGATAAAGGGAGAGTTTAGGCATCATGTGATCTATATCATTGTCTACATTCTCTGGGGAAAATCTTTGCAGATTTGACATTGAAAACATGCAAGTTATTGAGCCCCATGCTACAGACTCTGTGCCTTCTAAAGTATGTGGATCACCTTTCCTAGAACAATAACTTTCAATGAACGAATTATGTGCTCTAGGATCTATGCTGAGGGCTTCAAATACATCATGCCACTGAATTCTCACAACTCTATGAATTTTTTAAAATCATTTTTAAAGAATGGTTTATTGATTTCATTCCATTTGTTATTGTTTGTATTTTTTTTCTTTCTTTTTTATTTATTTATATTTTTTTTTTGACCACCATAGAGAGAGAGAAGGGGAAAGCAAGAAAACAAGCCACCAGGTCCAGGACTTGGACCAGGGTCCGCCATGTGGGAATCCAGCACCCTTATCCACCACACCACTTGCTGGCCCCACAACTCTGTGACTTTTTACTATGCTTTTGCCCACTATATGGATGAGAAAATTGAGGTCAGGGTGAGTAATCACGTGTCCCTAAGCCACTCAGATAGCTAATAATTCACAATAAAGTCTGTCTGAGCTGTAATCTCTACAATAGACCACAGACTTTAGGAAGATGTATTTTTTTAAAAAATACTGAACTGCTAGAGGAGAGAGGGATAATTTTAGAAATTTAAGATGTAGGACTTTTGTAAATTGTCTTTCCATCCTATAGAAAATGCCACAGAGAGTATATAGTCTATGTGCAGTTCTGTGCTAAGTCCTCTACACCGTGGACAGAACAGTCATAATCCTCTCCTGTTCATTAATTCATTACTTTATGCCTTAATTAAGACATTCACCCATCATGTCCTGTGTTATTCCCTGGAACTACAAGATGAAATAAGACCTGATTTCTACTCTCAGTAAGTTCATAATCTAAGGGAGTAAAGAGACTTGTGAATTAACAATTGCACTCCCCTGTAGCAAATGCTGTGGTGGATAGAAACCATGTGAGCCCAGAAGAAGGGCATCTGGATCAGAATGAACTTAAAGCGGTGGGAGGAGCCAAGGGCTTTGAATCAATTAAAAAAAAACAAAACTGGATTTGAGTCCTGTTTGTGTGATCTTGAGCCAGACGAAATTCTTTGAGCTCTGCCCTCATTTTTGTAGGATAACAACAATACCAGTCTAATGATATTACCAACCCTAAAAGAATTGCTCAGAGGATTAAGTGAGTTAATGTAAATGAAAGCGTTATTATTCATCATCATAATGGTGAAGATGGAAAATATGGGAAAAGCAAGTATAAGAAGGCATAAAAGCAATGTAAATGTTTCTAGAGTACAAATTAGCTAGCTGAATAGCAGTTCAGATGAGGATATTCAAGGAAATCAGTTGTCTTGGGACTTTGAAATCCTCAATTGCTCTTTCAGGGCTCAAAGTTCTCCATATAAGATTGAAGAGAAAAAAAAAATATATATATAATACAAATTATATATATATATATATAATTCCCTGAAATCAGCAGCTGTAATTCTTCCTAGTGTAAGAGAATTTTAAAAAGATTATTCTTAGTCTCACTCCATGGCCTGATGGTTAAAGTAGTTGAATCCCATGTGGCCAATGCACGGTTCAAGTCCCAGACCTGGCGGGTTAAGAAACATGATGAGATGTGTACACATATGCCCAAAATCCTGAAAGGAGGGAGAAATGAACAATACCAGTCTAATGATATTACCAACCCTAAAAGAATTGCTCAGAGGATTAAGTGAGTTAATGTAAATGAAAGCGTTATTATTCATCATCATAATGGTGAAGATGGAAAATATGGGAAAAGCAAGTATAAGAAGGCATAAAAGCAATGTAAATGTTTCTAGAGTACAAATTAGCTAGCTGAATAGCAGTTCAGATGAGGATATTCAAGGAAATCAGTTGTCTTGGGACTTTGAAATCCTCAATTGCTCTTTCAGGGCTCAAAGTTCTCCATATAAGATTGAAGAGAAAAAAAAAATATATATATAATACAAATTATATATATATATATATAATTCCCTGAAATCAGCAGCTGTAATTCTTCCTAGTGTAAGAGAATTTTAAAAAGATTATTCTTAGTCTCACTCCATGGCCTGATGGTTAAAGTAGTTGAATCCCATGTGGCCAATGCACGGTTCAAGTCCCAGACCTGGCGGGTTAAGAAACATGATGAGATGTGTACACATATGCCCAAAATCCTGAAAGGAGGGAGAAATGAACCAAAAGGGATTGTGGCATGACCATTTCCCATGGAAGGTGATTTCTCCTCTCCCTCTTTCTCTGTCTCCCTATCTTTCCTTGGCAAGCATATGCCGAGAGAGAGAGAGAGAAAAGATTATTCTTTCCATTAGATCTCACAGAAATCAATTAGCTAATAAGTATCCATTGATTATAGCCACGTGCCCACTACTGTGGTGATTTCTATGCAGAGCTTCAAAGAGCTCATGAATTACTGAGAAAGAAAAGAATTGCATATATTAAATAATTAGCTACCAAACTATTTGCAACTAAGTCTGATCACCGTAAGAGAAAAGTTCAGTGTAAGCCTGAACAGTGAGAGAGACCTTTATGAAGGAGGTGGTCACTGAATGAGATATATAAAAATGGCTAAGATTAGGGAAAGCAGAAAGAAGAGGAAAATAAGTTAGGAAGAAGGATGAAGGATGGGGGGAATAGAGCAAAGAAGAAAGAGAAAAAATAATGAAGAAAAAACCAGAAACAGTGGGAAGGAAAGGAGGAGAGAAGTAAAGACAGGGAAGAAAAACTCAAATAAAAGAATGAGAGTATTTGCAAAGAGAATCTGGAATGAACCCGGATGAGCTTAGCTAGAAGGCGTTGATGCATGGTCAGTGACAGAGGAGTAAATGAGGTTGGATGAAGTCAAACTGTATTCGAAACTGAGGAGTCTGGATTTGGTGCTCTGTTGGGTGGTTCACAGCAGGGATTTGTCGTGAAAAAGAAATTCTGATGGTGTAGCAGTTTGATGGCTACTTGGAGAGAATCCAGAACCAAGCAGACAGTGCTAGCCAGAGAGTCTCTGTGGTCTAAGTTATGTTAGATATGGCCCGCATTGCAAGAGCAAAAAGGAGAGGGCTCATTCAAGGGGGAAATTTTATCACTTGGAATATTAGAAATAAAAATCAGAAATGGAGAAAGAAAATACAAACAATCTATGAGATTCTACTAGATGGGGGGGAAATGGTGACTCCAAAGTGAAAAAAATTAAGTGCTTTTCGAAGTTTGAGGACTTGAAGTAAGAATATGTTCCATTGGAAGTGATGGCATTGAAGTAATTCAAATGGGAAAACAATAGGAGCAGTTGGAACGATGAGGTTGAAGTAGCAGGAGTAAGACCAGGGCTGGAGATATCCACCAAAGAGATGCAATGGAGATGGCGGTCAGCAAACTCTTGGGCAAAGGGGTTAGAGGGACAGAGAGAAGGTTCTGGAAGAATTCTCACAGATAGGAAGACAGGAGAGAAACAAAACATCATGGAACGGATAGGGAGGATACATAGACTGGGAGGAAAACCCCTAAACCAGGTACACAAAGATCCAAGAAGGAGAGAGTAGGAATAATGAGTAAATGATCAATATTGCCACATTGCAAAGACTAAGAATAATGGACTAGAAAAAAAGACTTCAATGGTTATTTGTTTTGCAAGGTTTCAGTATCATTTGGGAGCAAATGCCAGATTTCATGAAAACTGAGATTTCAGATGTCAGGAAGAGGAGAAATCAGCAAAGATCATAAGAGTGAAGAACATGGAGGAGGGAAAATTAGAAGGTATAATAGAATCAAACACAGGGCTTTCTGAGGTAGGGAAACTGAAGCACACAGAGAAAAGAACCTGGAGCTGTAAGAAATGGAGGAACTAGATACATCTTATGGAAACAAAATCTCAGAGGACATAGGGGTCCAGAGTTCATGTGAAGCAGTTATCTTTAAATAAGAGAAAAGAAACCTCTTTCTTTGAAAACGAAGAGGAGAAAGTCCATTTCAGAGAAGGGCTTTTATGAGGTGAGAATAAGGGTCCATGAGACGTGCACAAAGATGACTTTAATCTCTCAGTGATCTGAAATGGCCACGTAGTGTGAGTGAGAAAGAAACCTTTGATGGTGTCAGTCACTGAGATTTTCAGATTGTTACTGCAGCATAACCTCACCCATCCTGACTAAATACAAGGAGGAAGTTGCCTCCCAGGATTAGGACAGCAGGGAGGAATTGGAGATTTAGGGAAA